TTCCTTCTGCTCTTTTTTGTGGGTAACTACATGATTTCAACTTTATCTATCTATACATTATACAAGTTAAAGTAATTTAAAATAATAATAATATTTTATATATATATATATATGTATATACATTTAATAATAATTTAGTAATATCCCATTAATTTTGATATAATAATCTACCATGTCAGATACATTGACTATTGATCAAATAAGATCTAAATTGAGAGCAGAACTATTTTTAAAAGAGAAGCAAGGAGGAAAAAGTGATGTTTGGGATAAGTTTGCTGAACTAGTTGACTTGAATGACAAGATGATTGGGTATGTTGTTTGTAGGAATTGTGACTATATAACTAAATATAATTATAACTAGGAACCTCAAATTTACGAAGACATAGGTGTTGCAACTTAGATAATCAATCAAAAATTACTTCATTTTTGCAAAAAAATGAAGCACCAGCTAATGTTAAAAGAATTAATAAAAAAAAATTAATAAATTTTGTCTTTTGTGATTTGAGACCATTTGAAATAGTGTCTGGTAAAGGTTTTCAAGAATTTGCTCAAGAATTAGTTAACATTGGTTCAGTATATGGTCCTTTATCTATTGATGAATTATTACCAAATCCTACAACAATCTCACATAATATAGTAAAATGTTTAAATCCAATTCCTTTTGTACTTTTGAAGACAAATATTTTTCAATTTCATTTTCTTCAGTTTCATCATTATCTGAATCATAAAACTGACTAAAATCTGTTAAATCAACATTAGATTTTTTCTTTTCTTTTAATAGGTCTATCATCTTCACCACTACCATCATCATTATTTTTATCACTAGCAAGTTGAAATGAAAGAATCTCACACTGGTTCTTATTTCATTTTTTACCCATTCAGCATCATAAGATTCCAAAATTTTCAACTGCTTCATCTGAGGATCAAAGAATAAAGCTAATTTATATAAATCATGAATTTTAATTTTATCTATTATTTTTTGATTAACTACAGTTTGATTTGTTTTAAAATTTCATCATCTGGTGAAGATATCTGACAATGAATCAAAAGAGTTTTATACCAAGGAAGTACAAGATGAATTGTTGGATATTTTGATGCCTCTAAACATTCACTAGCTTCATGAAATTTTTTCAGAAAATTAATTAATATTTCTACAATAGTAATATCAATAATTTCAACTCTTTCTAAT